AGCATCACCCGGGAGCCAATCAACACCTTTGTGGACATTTTTGGCTGGATTAGGGAAAGATTGGAGACATGAGGCAACCCTTATCCTTGCGCACGGATATGGAGGTTCGTCTCATTCTTCATGTGGGTATAGTTGCACCCTCTGCACAGAGTCTATTGAAAGCTTGAAGTCCCTTGGGACGGAATTGGTTGTTCTTATTTCTTGACCCATTGTAGTGTGGGAGACCTCACTTTTGAGTTGAGGTGAATTCCGTTGTGGATCGCCTTACCTATGCTACCCAGCACTTGTTTTACATCTATCTCGGTTGAACTATTTTGATTATGCATCATAAGCATCTTATTACTTAACGTCCACCATCACTTTTTCTGTAAATATACAAACGCCCGATAATACCTTTTTGCATCCACCAAATATTTACGTTGGAATTAAGTCCTACGAGTACAAAATATACTCATGGCATTGCCGTTAAGTTTCTTTGCAGGAATCTTCATTCATGTTCACAGTTAAGTCGGGCTCAACAAGCTGAGGAATAGTAGACCTTGGAGTGGGTGACTCCTATTTGAGCTGCAAATTAACTCCGATAGTGTATACGATCGAGTACCGAGAGCAACTTAGAATGGGTTGCACTTGAAGTGTAAGCTAAGTATTCTTTAATCCGTGTTTTCCCTCGAAGTCAAGGATATGTTCGAGTTTATTTTTGAGATATTATACATGTGGTCTCTCGATGGTTTATTATGTGGTTTGAGATATGTTACCCAACTGCGAGATCCTGATCAGGGGAAAGCCGATTGGCACTCTCCTGTTGGTGACCTGTTGCCAGTCAAGCTGGTGCAATTTGGTCAAGTGGATGACACTTGTGTCGGTGAGACATAAATGGTATCGGGTCACCACACCCTTGACCCTACCAAGCAGGCAGGATACGAAGATGGAGAGGCTGCCACCGTCAGAACCAGGAAGCGGATCCAGCTAGCTCCACTACGGAAATCAGCCCCAGCAAGGCAGAAGGAAGATGGTGGGGGAGGAGAGAGCTAGGGATAGAAGAAGCCCTAGCCACAGCCAACCAACACCCTACCCCTGCCGAGCAGTCCTAGTAGCAGCCCTAGCGCACGAATCTACCACCTTCCTCGTAGAACGAGTGCTGGCCGAAGCAAATCCGGCCAAGGCCCAGGTAGCCCTCGATGTCGACGGAGACCGACGAGCAGCACCGCCAGCTAGGAGGATAGCCACATGAGGAAGTCACCACCAGATCTGGCGAGGACGGGCCAGAAGTGAGCAGATCAGCCAACCCTGCACCACCCCTGTCGTCTCCTCTGTTATGTCACCTGTTTTGGTGTCGCTGGACAGGCCCAGCGTACTGCTGAAGCTAGCTGTTGGGCTCTTCCCATGGGATCCAGGAGGACATCATCAGCTTCATCGACTGCTATCCAAGCTTCCAGCTCGAGGATGAGCTACTCGTCAAGGGGGAAGAGATGTGATGTGGGCGCGCCAGTATCAAAGGGGTCCCAGGGCTCAAGATGCATCCAGAATGGTAATCCAAGAGGTGCATACTATAATAAGTGGCAGTTAAGCTATCAGTTAGGGGTTAAAACCTAGGGAGGCGCATGCACAGCCAGCTGCATGCAATCAATGGTGGTAAGCTATCGGTTAGGGAGTAAGAAGTTAATGGCTAGGAGAGAATCGAGGAGGTAGGACTCAGGAACTTCTATTTATATCTTGTAACCGACTGAGAGAGAATCAAGCAATGAATAAAACAATCCAGTTACCCCCAAATATTCTATTCTCCCTCCACGCCGACTTTGTGTGGCCTTCTTTTGGCAATGGTTATCCTCCCTATCCCTGATTTGAACTAAGGTTCATAACATCTGGTATCGGCTTCCAGGCGCTCCTCTTCCACCTCTGCTCCGCCACCAAACCCAGCAGCCACAACGCCATCCGCCCCAGCCTCACCAATGACTTCCACCACCTCCATGTCATGAGTCAGGGATCCCTTCCTATGGCTTATGCTGGCGGCCATCCATCACCATCAAGTGATGAGCCAATCACTGCCCTCGTTGAGGGGACTCACCCGTCTCGCAGAAGAGATGGATCGCTTCGTCGTGATGTTCAACCGCTACCGTGATCACTTGGAGAAGTCAGAGCATAAACTCCAAGCAGCGGTGCAGCTATAGGCGGCAACGAGAGGGTTCCTGGTAAGGCACACCACAAGGAAGATGCGGGCCGCGATTAACCCTGCGCCTTCAACGATCCCATCCACCGCATCATTAGGTGTCGCCGCAACACACTGTCCAGCCGGCGCTGACGACGGGTATGGTTGTGCCAACAAGCGGCAGACATTCACCAAAATCATCCAGGCTTGATGAGTTGGATATGGCACCGCCACCAGCACCAGCCGTCTCCTCTATTCTATCACCTGTTTTGGTGTCGTTGGATAGGCCCAGCTTACTGCTGAAGCTAGCTGTTAGGCTCTTCCCATGGGATCTAGGAGGACGTTGTCAGCTTCATTGACCGCTATCCAAGCTTCCAGCTCGAGGACGAGCTGCTCGTCAAGTGGGGGGGGGGGAGATGTGATGTGGGGGCGCCAATACCAAAGACGTCCTAGGGCTCAAGATGCAGCTAGAACGGTAATCCAAGAGGTGCATGCTGTAATCAATGGCAGTTAAGCTGCCAGTTAGGGGTTAAAACACAGGGAGGCACATGCACAGCCAGCTGCATGCAATCAATGGCAGTAAGCTATCGTTTAGGGAGTAAGAAGTTAATGGCTAGGAGAGAATCAAGGATGTAGGACTCACGAACTTCTATTTATATCTTGTAACCGAATGAGAGAGAATTAAGCAATGAACAAAACAATCCAGTTACCCTCAAATATTCTAGTCTCCCTCCACGCCGACTTTATGCGGCCTTTTTTTTTGTAACGGTTATCCTTCCTATCCCCGATATGAACTAAGATTAATAACAGCCACAAGAATGATCACACGGGGTGAGGCACAAAAGAAGCGACAAAAATGGTCACTAAGCAGGGTCCTACTTCTAGCATTTCTTTTGATCACAAATGAAACAAACAACTGTAATAATATTTTCTATTATTTCTCCAACATCTATTCGAACTCCAACATCTATATTTTTCAATTAACTCACGGCTGAGGAACTTGTTTGTACTGATCACTAAGCAGGATGGATAGCTTGGAGATGAGCGAGCTCATCACCCCAGTCGTCGCAGCGCTCACTGCCATGCCCGTCATCTCAGGCCTCCTTGCTCTCTGCTCACTCTAAGCGAAAATGGTAGTCGGTCTGGTGGCTTGTGCACTCTAGTTTAAGCAAAATGATTCTTGTTTCATTTGTCTTATCTTAAAGGAAAAACGAAAAATCGCATCATACAAGATTCTCAAGATGCTCCATTCAGTCGCTGCAGAAACTAGTTAAATTACTGTTATTTTCCTCCGATAGATTCACGCACACATGAGACCAAGAGGATATGGACCAGACAATTAACAAATGTGCCTGTGTCTACAGCTTCGTTCGTACCCAAATTGGCAGCTTCTCAAGTTTGTTTGCCTTCCCAGAAAGCGAAACTAGTTCAATGTCAGCAGCTCTTGACTTTCAGACACATTCTTTTGACCTTGAACCTGTAACTGTAACGCCGCTCAGCCTCGTCGGCAGCAACGAGCCTTGAGTTGTCGAATTTGACTAGCAATGAGCAATGTGTCGCCACAGTCAATAGCTTCTTGATCTGGCGTGCAATCCTGCCTTGCTTGAACATCAAAGTCATAGGCCAAGATTATGCCTTGCTTGAACATCACAGACATCGATGCAGTCCAAAGTCATACGCAAGTTCACACACCTTGTCTTTCAAAACTCCCTTGCTTGAATATCACGCTCTCCCATGTCGGCCAGCTTCCGCACCGGAGCATTCCGATGTTGGTCTATTGAAATCCTTCTTGTCAGCCTAATCAGAGTTTTTACAGCTTCACACTTCAGGTTGGAGTAGTTCTCTTAGCTCATTGATTTGAAGTGCCAAATATTAGATAACAAAAAAACATGCCAGTAATAGGAAGTTACACATAAATGACAATTACCCGAGACGAACAAATTTGGAAGTATTACTTGTAGACTAACATTTTTCAAGTGGAATGCTTTAGACTGCTTCATTTGCTTCATAGCAAAAGTGTAGAAGGTCAGGACATTCAGAAGATAAAATGGGATAACTGAAACCATCAACAATATGATACGCTCTCAAGTCTCGTAAGACAGAATAGTACTCTTGCAAAAATGAGCAACAAGATAAGGTGTTCCTTACATAACGTAGTCTCCAAAGCATAACTTTGACTTCTATTGTTTACAAAAAATATTGATGGAAAAGTGACATATGTATATTTTTATAAAAGTATTTTTCAAGACAAATCTATTTATATGATTTTTATATTTTTAAACTTAATAAGTTAAAAGTTATTCATGATTTATATTCCCAATATTTAACCCAAACCTTGTCAAAACGACTTTCTTTAGAGATCCGAAGGGAGTATATGTATTTCATAAATTAATGAGTTGAAACATACAAATACATTCTGAACTGTTTGGGGGAATACAGAACAAGCCGACCTCAGGAACATAACGGACCGGACCATAATAACTAAATAAATTCTACCATCTATTGATGGCGACATTCATTCTTTGCATCTAAAGACGTCATTAAACACGTAAACCAAATTCCCAGGCCTAACAACATAAAGAACCAATTGTTGCATGTACATCAAGGATTCAGGATTTACACAAGAATGCAACATGAGCTCATAGAGTTTCTCAGTTACAGATTTTAGTACATGGAAGTATACACATACAGTTACAGACCTTGATGGCAGCATCTGAATCACATGAATAGAGTCAAGGGTTTAGCAAACCAAATTGGCCAGAGATGCCTCAGTGAAGAAACAGTTTCTAAGACAAACTTACACTGCCACCCTTTTTTTTTTTACATTTTACAACACATTACAAACTGCAGATATTCACCTCGCATCAGCAACCCTCTCAATAGAGACATTTAGTGTAAGTTTGCTAGCTTTGCTGAAGGCATATGGAACCAAAAGGAAAGCTTCTGTAGGATTGAGACCTTGCCACTCCCTCGTATCTGTGACAGAAGCCTTCAATTGCAGACTGTTTTCAGTGTTTCCATTACTAGTTGCTCTCATTTCATAGAAGAAATTCCAATTCAGATTGCCAGTCCTAAGGCAACACACTGAAAGCGCATGGCCAAAGGGAACCACGTTCTTGTTGATGAAAATGAATAGGTGATCATCCTCTGCTAGAAGAACCAGAAAAGGAACTGACATTTCCAAACTCACTTTGAAACACTGACCATAGGAGAAGCGCAGCCCATCACTATTATGGTTTGTAAGGAAATGTACTGACCACCATCCAGTGAATCCTCTGTACCCACAACCAGGAATAGGACACATTGAAGGAGCGTAAAGGCAGGATTCTTCGTGAGCATTTCTGCATGCATAGCTGACCAACTTGTTACAGCCCCATTTGGCATATGAGCAGGATGACTTAACTGACTCAACAACCTTCTCCAGTGCAATGTTTCGTACAAAGTTAGCATCACGAGAACAAATGTGGCATTTGTTGGTGAGCCTAGACCAGCAGGAAAAGCACACTACATGGCCATTTTGGCACTGGAAAATACAGAAACAAGCTGCAATCATATAAAGGCGGCCTTAAGATATGACTTTTGATAAGAATGCTCGCCTATTATGAGAAGGCATACAGCATGGACCAAATTTTAGTTGCAAACATTGTCACATGTCAATATAATAATCAGATCATATGACTTGTTGGAATTTATGAACCAATTTATCTGCAGCTCAGAGAAACCTAAATGAGAAATGCAAAAATGGAAAAAAGTTGTGCAGATAGGAGCTTCTCATTTTTCTGCTCCACATAATTGTAATTGAGTTTGGTAAACGGTTCAGTCGTCTGGTATAAGTCTACCTCCCCCAAAAAAAAATGTTTTCAGATTTTTACGGACACTTGTAGATTAGTTCACAAGGTTCTTAAGTAAAATGTCCTACCTGCTTGCAGTAAAATGTCAAAGATCTAATACACCCTCCAACCTGAAATACAACCTATTCTAGGAATTCTATGACATATTATGCGTAAAGCAAATGACAAATGTAACCCTTTGTGATTACCATATTTGGATTGGTGGTAGACACTAGTAGTAGGTATGCATAAACTGAGTTGGGGGTTCACCTAGAATCCTTTATAATTTGGAAAAAAATTTAAATGCTTGGATACCTTATATTTCAAAAAGGAGGGATTACTATGTAATGAAAGCATCTCCATCTAATATGTACCCAAACAAGGTTTTGATTCTAGAAGACAAGTAGATCGGAAAGTTTTGTGCACATTTTTAACCATATCTAAAGGGGCATATCCACTGCAGTACAAACTGGGTGTTAACAACAGGTAGTTTGCATTTACTTACTGAGGCATGTGTGATGCAAGTTCCAAGAAAAAAACAGATACTTTGCAACAGTAGTATGTGCTGTCCGTGGCAACAGTAATGTGATGTGAAACCCATTAAGTTTCCATCCTTGCTCCATGAGCACAGGTAGGCTTTGCCATGGGAACAGATCTACTCTGTTTTATTTCCCATTCCAAGCAACTTAGGAGAGGGCACAGAAAACAAGATTCATCCTGGTACTGATTCAACACTAATTACCTTGCCACAGTGATAGCTATGAAGGTATCGTATCCTGATAACCTTCAGCTCAAGCATAGCAAATGGGTTAGTTGTGAACTATATAAATCAGATTTGTAGCATAGTGATAAGTTTATTTCCTTTCATAACACTAACCTCAACTGATAAGAAGCTTGAAAGTTCATTGGCGTTTATTTGTGTCTAGTAGTTGTGTTACTATGCACTGATTAGGTCAACAGCTCACTATTATGAGGTATCTTAGTAGATATTTCTATCAAATTATTTGTCTATTGATGAAATATGTACAATACAGTTAGTAACCCTTTGTGCACAATTGTTTCCTTCAGTAGTATTAATGATACCATATATGGCTGGACATAAGGATTTTAATAATCCATGTGGTTAGAAGAGCAATTACTTGCCTTTGTTTCTAAAGAAAATGTCAAGTCCAACTGTCTGAGACAGATAAGTATTGGTTCAATTGCAGACATTTTGGAAAGTCATAGTCAGGATTAAGTACCGCGTTTACCTGCCTTCAAATCACGGTTGCTACAAAAGCATACATGAAAATTTTGTCGAAGAGTGCTGCACGCACGGTGGTAAGTCAGCTGCTCTGCATTTATATGTTACTGTCTCCTTTCATATCCTCAATTTTGTAACAAAGTGTTGCTTCTTAGTTCTTACAGTTTGAGCAAACATTTCAGGAAAACTAGGAAAATAACCATATTATGCTTTTGTAGCAGATTATCACTGCGTTCAGATGAACAGCATATTATGCCATCCTTTTCCGAACCGAGGCCATCCCCGTTTCCATTACCGAAATAACGGAAATACAGAGTTATAGAAAGTTCAGACAGCAAAGGAAACGCTAGAAGTAGCTAGAGCGAAAGCACGAAGAAATACAGACTACGCCGGCTTCTACCACAAGCCACTACCAAAGTAAGAAACATCATTACAGAGTATCATCTCAAAACACAGAACCACCAAATATTATGCCATCCTACCCAAATTACTACGGGAAATCAAGCAATATAGGCGATTTTCAAACGGGGTTAGCTACCTGGTAGAGGGGCGGTTGGAGGGGCTCGAAGCAGATGGAGCAATCAAGCACATCCGGGTCGATGCGCACACTAATCCCGTCAGCCTCTCCGCCAACGACCGTCTCCAAATTACGGTCGTTCCCTTCAGCCCTCGCCGCCCCTACCACCGCGCTTCCATCCTGCTCTTCGCCCTCGACCGCCAAAATTCGAGCCTTCGAAGATCCTCCGCCGGCCGCCGCTTCGGCTGGGCCGTCTTCGCGCTTTCTCTTTTCGCCCTCGGAAGAGAAGGCCGGAGGGTCTTCGTCGGCGTCGTCAAAGGAGAACTTGGCCATGGATTTCTAATGAACCCCTTTTGCAGCAGGTGGGCACCGCGGGTGGGGCAGCGATCCGGCGACTCCGATTTGGCGGAGGCAGTGCTGGAATGGGGAAGAACTAAACAGTATTCAGGGCAGCCACATCCCCCGACGTCTCTGTGTTTGGTTACCGGACGCCCGGACGGGCTTCCAGTATATACTCGCTAAAAAAAAGTTTAATCGGAATCATACCATTTTCACGGATGAGAAAACTACCATTACTATTCATCGTATGAAGCGGTGCCATTAAATTCTCTCACCATTTTATACACTCTAGATACCGTTAGGCCCATGAGCAAACGTCTGTATTTTTTTATGCTCCAAAATATCCTTGTTAGTTGTTTGGGCCTCTCTCTACATCTCAATGACATGCGGGACCCAACCGTCACCCCCTACTTTGCGAGGCGACACGGCGAGGCCCCTTTGTAGGCGGGCGAGCTCCACCCAAGCGCGTGGCCCGAGCTAGAGGATGATGACGGTGCGGGTGGCTGGAGCCATGGCAGGGGCAGCGGCTGACTGGGCGGAGAGCTCGGCTCCGACACGAGCACCAGCCACCGGTGTTGTTGCAGATCCCGTGAGGACACTGGAACGGGGAGCAGGTGCGGCTGCTCTAGCGCCCCCGTCAGTCGCGGACCTCGCCGCGTCGGCCTCCGGGCCTGGGCAAGGGGCGTAGGTGCAAGTGAGGTGTGTGGCACGGAGGTCGGCAGCCCAGTTGGCGGGGCAGTAGTGGCCCGTGATGGGGTGCTGCACCAAAGAGATCTTGACGGCGGTGGCACGCATGGTTTCCTTGGCGTTGGCCGCAGACGCCGCTGATGCCGCTCTGACATGCCTGACCTCCTATAGCACGACGATTTCTTGTTAGGCACCACACAAGCTAACTGAATCTAATACCATACTCGATCATGACTACACATAAGACGCCGAGAACTTCACCACCACTAAAGTCACATATGGAAATTGCCACATTAGCCAGCTCTTCTCCTTCCACTGCAATGCTACGTCTAACATCTTTCCATATGACCTCTTGTTGCCTTGACCAATCAGATTACTCCAATTGCCTGTACAAACATCCATCATCTGTACTTCGTTCCAGTTCAGCCCTACGCTTTCCATCCCGCATGAGACTTGAATCGATCGGCGCACCTTGCTATCTTGGAAGCACGCAAACTCCTCTAATGCAAAACCTACATCATAAACTTAAGCAACATGCAAAACCTCAATTCGTGGACTTCTCTTTATTTTGTGGAGGCCAGGAGAACGCAAACACATGACCCTATCCAATCCGGACTAAGTATCGTGCGCTTTTCTTCCTAACCTTGTTTTGTGAATTTCTTTTTATTCTCCTGCACAACCATGTGCATGTCCACGATCAACAAGTCCTTTCCCATAAAAACACTGTAGTAATTATGTCGATCTTGCCCCTGCACCTCACGTCGCAATCATGAGACAAAAAAAACCAACTAGGCCATGCACACTGATGTCCGAGCCCCACACCATGCCACATGGAACCCAGCTTCTAGCGTCAGATTTGCTTAAGAGATTTTTTTTATCAGGAATCATCGCTTCATTCATTAGATAGCGTGTATTGCAATTTGATTGTAATAACGTTGTCTAATCAATGAAGCGATAATTCCCAATAAAAAAACCTCTTAAGCAAATCTGACACTAGAAACCAGTCAGTACTCCTCTATCAACAAGTGAAAAGTTGTCTCTAGCTAGTCTTGGGTCGGTTTCTTTCCCTGCTTCTGTTAAGTTGGTGTGCAGTGTTTGTGCCTCTAGGCACATTGTTCTTTACTATGGTCTTTTCTTCTTAATTCAATGATATGCAGTTCTCCTAAATGTTCGTGGAAAAAGAAAAGAAAAGTTGTCTCTGTTTGAGGGCATGCCATTAGGTGCTAATGACTCTATCAAAGCATAGTTGGTGCTCTTCAATATCAAACTCTTACTGGACCTGATATTGCTTTGTCTGTAAATAAAGTATGCCAATTTATTCATGACCTACAATGTCACATTGGATAGTAGTTAAACCAATCCTAAGGTACTTAGAACGATGCACTAAGATTGGACCCAAAATTGGGAAGTCCAACTCCCTACTAGTCAGTGGAATTTCAAATTTGATATCATGGAGCCCACGTAAACACAGACAAATGATGTCAAGGTCTAGTAAAGAGGCAAAGTATAAAGCTATTGCTAATACCACTGCTGGCATAATATGGCGTGCTCTGGCGGCCGCCAGACCTTCCCACTGGCGAGACTATCCTCTTCTCCCATCTTTTTTGCGGCTAAACTATCCCTGCCATGTGCGAGCTCCCATGGATCCTGCTATTGAGAGGAAGACGATGCTGCTTTCTGCTGCCGAGCGAGCGGTTGGTTGGACGCGCTAGGCTAATGGGCCACGTAACGAGGCCCAGGGGACTCAGAAGGTGAACCGCTATGCTTTTTACCGATGATGATTCAATCTTCAGGAGTCTTGTTGTCAAATCAATATTTTTTCAATATATTTTGCACTAGACTAGAGGTGAGTGGTCCGAGTCCTGGAGGTCATTGGTCTGGCAAATATTCATTGCCTATTTTTTCCATTGGTATGATAATTCACTAATCACTAGTATTATTTAATGCTTGATATCATCTTTTAGCTGTGTTTAACTATCAATTATGAAAGGTCGATCTCTTGTTTCACTGCATGTCTGCATTACTAACTCTTGTTTTCTATGTGATTATCGTCACTAGAATTAGCAGTAGAAAGTTCGCCATAGGTGAATTTTTAGTTTGGATCCTCCATTGTATATGGGTTCAAACTTTATTGAAAGAAATTGGTACATTGTCCCCACCAACATCCAAATTATGGTGTGATAACGTGGAAGTATCTTTCAATTTTTTCATGCTAGAACTGAACACATTGAGGTTGATTACCACTTTGTAAGAGAACATGTGGAAAGGAAATTATTAGAGATTGATTTAATTCCTTCAGGAGATCCGGTTGCAAATGGATTTACTAAAGCACTCCCTGTAAGACAATCGGAGAACTTTAAACACAATCTTAACCTAGCACGATTATGATCGAGGGAGGCTGTTAAATAGAAATAAAATGTATTGTAATTCTGATTTGAAATGCATACATGATTGGCTGACATGCTTAGGTTGTTCTATTGTATCTTTGGTAGGGTAGATATCCTTTGGTTCCACCCATTTTTCCTTTTCGCCTCTGTATTGTTTCAACACAACAACGTTGTTAGATCCTAAAATAAATCAAAGAAAATATGAGCACACTAGTAAAGTTGAGGACTTGAACCCGGATAAATAGGTCACAAGAAACCCAACCAATTGAATTAGTTCGCATATATGAGATTTTTTTGACATAGTTGCTATAAAAATTAATGGACAGAAACACAGATAACAATGAAGTTAAATCTCTTATAGGCCCTTGCTCTGTTGCATAGATTTAATCGATATATATAAGTATTTTAATTTTGATCTTCACTTTTGGTAACATTCATTTCATTATTTGTGAAGATATATATGACCATTGGAATTGACCTTGGAACGTGTCTCCAAAATTGTCAGGTGTCTTCCTCTTTCTAATGTTCTCTGCAAAATTGTCTTGGTGACTTCATTATCCACGCTTCATGCTCTCGATCAGCTTGCCAATCTTTGTTTTGTCCTATACGCTTTATGCCTCTCATCTTACTTTTAATTCCCTACCAAATCTACTTTGAGAAAATACAGCAGATAACATTGTTTCTCCGTGGGTACACGTCAAAACTGAACGCGCAATAGTGCATTTCAGGAAATGCTAAAGACCTTGATCAATAATAGCAGCAACATCTTAATTTGATTGGCTTCATTACGTCTTTCTGATTCCACCATCTGTCCACATTTTGGATAAGCTAATTGCACAAATCATTACAATTATTAGCGAACACTGATGTTACATTTGCAATAAGTGCTTGTGGTACCCTTTTGTGCCCTACTGATGACTCGTCATCATCTCGGTTGAGATTGACATATTCTGAAGCAGGACCCCTTCTAATATAATCATTTAATTTACCCGTAGATGGCATTCTTGCCAACTCCAACAGATCCACCGAGGGTTGGTTTCTCGTTGCCTCTGGTCTCTTCCTTCTGCATGCCGAAGGTGCTGGCACTGCTGCCCTCCGTACAGCATGCGGTGCCTCCTGCAGGTACCAGGTTCGTGTCGGCGCTGGCTGGAATCGTGTTGTCATCGGTCACTTCCTTCTGCGTGCCGGTAGCGGCTATGGACGTGGTTGCTGCTGGTACAAAAGCAGCCGCGGTCACGAGGGCAACGGCGATGAGCGCTGCAACGATGGTCTTACATTGGGCCATTACTGTTTTCTAGCTTGGACCATTTACAGATTGATGGTTCATGGTGTGTGTTGTGACTTGAGAGAAGTGTAAACGGCAGTACTTAAACTCAATGCAAGAGATGGCGCCTAAGAATATATGATGCTACGAGAGCTTTGCGGGCATCCATCTTCTTGTGTGCATGTACAGGTTTTGTTCCATCGTTTTGGTGGCTGACAAGAGATGGCATGTGTGGCAAGTGGCATTATGGCAAGCATGCATGCGTGCATACATTATTTGCCAAAGCATGTGAAGAATATCAAATTTAGCAAGACTTAGCTAGTCACAGCCGGTTTTATGCAATCATAGTTCCAGGACTGACGATCAAAGCATTCTTGAAATATCCAATTATCACGCGGCCCCAGTGAAACTGTGGGGCCATCACTATTATATTCAAACCGACAAATGTGTACTTCGATGTTATAGGGAATGTAGGTGAAATTGCAACATATATAAGATTGTTGCTCTCGAATTAGTTTTGACTTTGGTAGTCACTAGCACAAAACGAAATATCAAGGATATGTATAGCCAAAAATAAATAAATAACGAAACACTTGCTAGAAATGAGAATCAAACTCACAACCTAAGGTTTCGCATGCTCACTTACCACTACACTA